ATCTGGTGAATCTTCCATACACCTCAACCGGTTTTTTTCAATTATATTGACGCTATCATGCATCTGAACGTCCTCCGCGCTCATTTGCAGCAGATGCCACGCCTACATTCCTTTGTGCTTTGTTCCTGACTACTTCTTGTGTGCTTTTGAAAATCCGTGCAATAATCAGACTAAGGAAGGAATTACTCTTCTTCTTCTTCCATCGCCGCTTCTCCTTTCGGGTCGCGGAGGAATTACTCTTCTCATGAAAATCCCACTCTATCCTACCTCCATCAGGGTCTTTAAGGGCATGAAGACACATATTCTAAACAAGAATCAAAAACGACACCTGGACTGGTTACAGCAGAGTTGGATTCCATGCATAACGGGGGCTGAATGGCAAGATCACGTAAAAAATGACTCTGTTCTCTTTCAGGTACAGGAGTCATCAGCAAATTTGAAGATTAAAAAAAAGAGGTTGGCCATTTTAGGTAAATTGGCTGAGCATACTGTATTTACTCAAACTCGTGAGTTTCTCATGTGGGAACCGAAATAAGATAGATGTCGACCAAGAGGCCAGCATGCAACATGCTGGAACAACGCGAAGTCAGATCTGTATTTGGAGAGGAAAATTTCCTTCTTCGATGTTGTAACTAATACCTATCAGGTGTTAGCGCGACTACGATGGACATGACAAACCAGAGACATGACGTTGTACTTATGCAGACGGCTGACGGTGATGATCTCAACAAACAACAACTTTTTATAGCAAACTGGGGAAGTGTTTGGAGGACTTAGCAGGAAAGATGGATACCAAAATTTCCAAGAAGAACACGCGCCATAAGAACATATTTTAAAGGGAAAATTTCAAAAAATTACAGAATTTTATTTTTCAAATTTCACACTCTTATTGCGTTCCTTGTCATGGCACTTTTCAGCAGCATTCGTATCACTCCCTTGCGAGAATCTTGGTTACATCATATAGGCAATGAGAAAAAGTTCTTGTTGGAAAGCTTCTTACTTCGAGTTTTATCGCCTTGACGGTCCCGGAAGAGTCTGGTTCACCTGGTGGTGACCACACTCCTTGGTTGGTCGCTTTTTATTTGCTCATTTGTTATATCCAAGGTTTAGCAGATTTTGGCGTACGTTATACTTCATTCAAGTTAGTTTGACTGACAGGGTGACTCACTGACCGAATGACCGATTGACTAACCGACTAACCAACTGACTCTCTATGCCCTCCGAGTGCCTTCAACTGCCACGCTGCACGTTAACTAGTCTAATCGACTTCACCAGTCAGAGCCAGCCCAGAAGCGCATCGTGAAATCATATTTGAAACTATCAAATTTCAAGCTCGTAATAACTGTTTCATAATTGTGATTGCCGCTGATTATAATTATGAATAACTATGACCTTGAAAGAAGCATTTTTTCTTACCTTTTTCTGCATTGCAAGAGTGGTGTTTCAATGATAGTTGAAGCTCTGCTGTATAGCCAAAGTTCACCGTGCAGTCCTTAAATAATAATTGACAATATCACTTGTTGATACATCATTCTAGAGATACTTCATTTAAACCACCAATCCTTGCTCTTTGCGTTGTACCAGCGATTGGCTCTCGCTCATCGTTCTGCAATTCTGTGTTGAAGAGCAACATTGCACAAAAGTGAAGAAAGCATCATGTGATTAATTCACCTTCCAAGTTCAGGATGTAATAATGGATGAAGAGATTGTCGTATTCAAAATTTGTTGCTTTGACTAAAATTTAGAATGAACAATTTGTCATATAAAATTTACTAATTGTTTACTGTTTACATGGTATCACTAATATAATTTACTATTTACACATCGTGCAGATTATTTGGTCCGCCATCCGGTCAGTGAAAGCGAATTGCTCACAAAGCGGACGTACTGGACAATATGGTAGTATATCTGGCACATTGGAACGTGATCGGACCAGACCACCCAGAGCGGTGCCTATTATTTGTAAATCAACAATTTCATATTGGTATTTCGGTCGGTTGCATTAAAGTGGAGTACACACACTCAGTTAACTTATTCAATGATTTTAACAGCAGTCGGCTCGTCTTTGAAAGAATGGAATAAGAGGATGAAGAGGAAATGCCATGTCGTGTCATTTCATAAATGTCGTATTTTTGCATACAATATTTCAACACGAAAATTATGCATACCAATTTCCATTAAATACAATACTTTCAGTGTTTGTTCCACGGGGAAACTTGTTGTAAATATTGGAGCATTGCGATATCTGAAATTAGCCTAAACAAAGCAACATTTAAATATTCTACAATAATAAAAAGAATTAAAATATAAACTTTTAACGTAAGAGGTTTGTGGCTAAAGGTAAAAACTCTTGGCCCTGTAACTGATTTAATAAACAATCAAACTGCACATGAAACATTCATGGAGGAGTCACAAAACATACTGCAATCTGGTCTCGAAGGAACTATGCGTTTTAGAACACATTTCTCTTCTAATGTGATATTAACATTTCTTTCGAATTATTCTGACGGCCACAACCTCATTTTTTAATCAATCAGTTTCGATGATCGTTTAACTTTCCGGATCTCAGAGACAGCGACGTCACAAAATGTTCTGAATTTTTCCGATACTGTGCTGTCACCTGAGCTTCGGCAGAAGAAAGTATGATTCTGGAGCAGTGTCTGTCAAGTCACTTGTCCTATGGCATTGTTGGCCGAATGGGTGTCCCTGGGTGTCCGCCGATCAGTTGACCAAATGGCAGCTTTTTTGCCTTCTTTTTTG